CCCCCCGAATTATAAACAGAAAAGGTAAACAGCAATACATCCACACGATGAAAGTCGCAGGTAATTGCTTTGAATACCGCTATATGATAAAATATCATAGTATTTTTTCATTCGAATTTACTAAATCTGTCTGATTTCAGAATATATCATAGAAAACAATTCACTAACCATAACAGATGAAGCAAAGCGATGTTTCATTGAGGATGGATGTATTATTGTAAGGTATATACAGGTACTTCGTAGAGCCTCCGTTCATCAAATGAGGATTTAAAAAAAATACTAGTTAAAAGAAAAAAAAAATGAAAGGGTTACATACATAAAAACAGACAGTAGTATTTCAACTGTTTTAAAAGGACGAGATCTTGCAATTACATCTAATTTCATTGCCAAGATGTTAATGATTTGATTTCAGAGGTTTACTAAGTAAGGCAGAACTGCTAAAAGTGGAGAAAGCCGTCGAAAACCCAAATTTCTAAAACACCAGTATGGAGTACGTTTGTCTAATCATATGGAACGCCGTCACTGCCTTATAGCAGAACACTACAATTGCCTTGTGTCAACTTTCCATTACATTACGTCAACTCTTTATGACATTTACACACACTACTATTGCGTTATGTCAACTTTCTATTACATTATGTCAACTCTTTATGACATTTACTCACACTACTATTACATTGTGCCAATCTTCCGTTGCATTATATCAGCTCTTTATGATATTAAGTCAAAACAATTTTACGTGGTGTAAAGATGTTTTTATATAATTTCAACTCATTATTACATTAAGTGCACTCTCTGCTATTTGGTCTAAGTAGTTCATTACATGATGTGAACTTATCTTTAATTCAATATCAAGTCGCTATAACATGATGTCAGAATTTTATTACATGATGCGAAAAGAATTGTCACATGTGGCCAATTCTTTACTACATTGTGTCATCAATATGGTACATGACAACGGGAATCTATTACATTATGTCAATTTTCCCTTACTTTTTGACAAATCATTATTATGTTATGCCATTGTATCTTTACACTGTGTCTAAAATGCTAAGCCTCTTGTCAGATATCTTAGAATATTTCAACTCTTTATTGTGTGACATAAGGTTTAGGTTATGCCTAGAAGTTCGTTTTGTGTTTTCAGTATTACATGCAAATATGTTAAACATGCAAATAATTTAAATCAAACACATCAAATATTAAATTATACACAAGACTTCATTAATCCTTAAGTAAATATCAGGCTAAAACTTATAATAAGATTATGTTCCCGTGGAATCCTTATTGACGATTCATGCGATTGTTTTTTTAACGTCGAAATTCAATGGCCGTTTAATTTCATAATTATCGCAAATCAAATATCAGTATGTGTCATGCAGCAATATTTTTCTTTTTATTTTGAATTGTTTTAAAAAGTCCGAAACTTCTGATTAACCACGAAAATTGTCCTAAGCTTTTTATCTGTCTTTAACCCTCCCTTTTTTTTTAAAAGTGTAAACACATCGTCTTGCGTACGTGCACTGGTGGGTGGATGGGGAAAGGGGGATCCGCCCTCCCATCTTTAGTGACCAAAATATGCATGAAATTAATAAATTGGTTTTACTTTGTAGGACATTGCATTAGTTTCACATAAAGTATAACTGAAATAAATTGAAAACGTTTTATATTTAAAAAAAACCGTAAAGCCTTAGGGCTTCCAGGCTTTCACCCCCTGCATGTCCCAACTTAGACACATACCGTCCCCCCACAGCTACTCTTTTCAAGAACCCAAAATCGACACTGATATGTTCCCATGTTTACTGAGGCATGGTCAATTGATTTAAGTGAGGTACTGGTAGATTTTTTGTAACAGAATTCTGGTCCTGGAATATTTAAAAAATTACTAATTCCAGTGATGTTGCATCGTTTTTGAAAGTTGGGGGAGGTTTGTCAGCCAGAAAAAAATAACGTACAGGAAAAGGCAAAAAAAAAAAATGATAAAATAATTTGTCCAAACTTGAAAATCCTATTTCGGGTGAAGGGGGGGGGGGGGGGTCCAATTTCATTAGTCCTCAAAAAAAAAATCCAAATATACTACATTACCCTTATACTTCAGGAAAAAGTGGGTGCGGAATTTAAATGAACATTTTCTATGATAAATTTATGTCTGGAAGAAGAGGAAGCAAGCCCCCCCCCTCATATAATGCGTCTGTCCTAATTAATCAAAGGGCCTGCCCCCCCCCCCCTTCCCAGTCGTGAAAACACTGTTATCAACTTTGGTATAATGTAAATGTATTTTACAGCACGTAATGAACATTTGTAATCAACGTGAAAAAGAGTTAATACAATGTAAAGATAATTTTAAATCACATAAGAAAGAGTTAACATATTCTTATTAAATATCCACATTAAGGAATGGAGTTTTGACATAACGTAATAAAGTGTTGATATAATAATGGAACGCCGGGACTGTCTCCATAATATATGTTCACATTATATTATAAGCCTTTATACATCACGTAATAAAGCACTGACATAAAGGTAAGATGTATTCACCTTACATCATTATGACCTCGGCGTAAAATAAAGATACATTCATATCACATAATAATGGTTTGTTATAATAGAAATATACACTCACAAAAGGGAATGGACTTTGACTTAACGTGCTGATAAATTTAATCATAGAACACTTGTAAAACGAAATTAACTTGACGTAATGCAATTTTGATGTAACTTATTAAATAAATGAAATAATATAAAGAAACATTCAGTTCACGTAATAAAGTTTTAACACAATGTAAACATATTTTCACTTCACATAATGAACTTCGAACTTCAACTTATAAAGTGCTGATATAATGGAAGAATGTGTTTACTTCATATAATGCAGCATTCACATGATGTAAAGATTTTTTTACATCACCCCATAAAAGTTGACATAACGTAAAGATATGTTCACATCACGTAATGATAGATTGACATAACGAATGCATAGTTTTCTACTATAAGGCAGTGATGGCGTTCCATATAATCATGTTTTAATCAGTTTAAAGTACGTCTGTCTAATCATGTTTTGCTTAGTTTGTCTTTACACTTAAAATGGTAATTTTTACTTCTCTGTGTTTTATTTTCCAGAACCCAGACAAGAATGGGAGAGAACCAAAACTGGTTCTGTGGCAGCATCCGGGAAATGACGTCACTGGTATTGTTGCACGCTCTGAGAAAGTTGCCAAGACATGTGAAGAGGTGAGTTAACGATTTACTAGTATTTCAATAAATTCATTATTATACAAAATTAATGCGTATAAATCGGTTAATTTTCAGTTACTAGGGGAAGGTCTACCATTACCACACCAAATTAATTGCCAAGGAACCATATATAGGAGGTACTTTTGAATGGCACCAAGATTATGGGTAAGTCTGGTAAACTTAGTGAATACAGTGTATTTATATCCTGTAGTATGCTCAGTGACGTCATATTTAACCAGGTACTGGTATAAATACGGCTGTATGTTCCCTGATATGATGACGGTCTTTGTAGCATTGGATGATTGCAAGAAAGAAAACGGTTGTTTGCAGGTAAGTTGTTTAAAAGTTTTTTTATTTTTAATTACTAGTACATGTATATACTATTTGTCTTTTTTGATTTTTTGTTTGATGAATTGTAATGCATTTTACCTTCAAAAAGGTTTTGAAAGGGTCACACAAATGTGGACGAATTGACCACTTAATAGTCGGGGAGCAAACTGGCGCGGACGTAGAACAGTCAAGGAGATCGAGAAAGTTTGCGATCTGATTCACGTGGAACTGAAGGCAGGTGAGGAATGTTTATAGAATTGATCTTTTTGTAAATCATTACATTTCAAGTACTAGTATTTAAAGTCTGCCCTTCATCACTAAGTTAGGGCAATGAGAGATAAAAGACTTGTTTTGCAGGAGATGCCCTGTTTTTCCATTGCAATGTTCTTCACACCAGCAGTGATAATACGAGTAAGAACATGAGACGAGCTCTCGTTATAGCATACAACAAAGCGTCCAATGACCCAGGCCCACACGAAAAACATCCAGGATATACACCACTCGACATTGTAGGTACTATTCAGGTATAAATTAAATTACTTGTTTTCAGTTTACCCTTTCTCGTCATTGCACCTCTTTTACAGGTTGAAAATTCAGCAATAATGAATTGTGAAAACTATAGTGACTTCACAGGAAAAGACTTTTGGCTCAAACAACCACAAGTGTGATTAGTTGAAATGAAACATGATTGAAAAAAGTCATCCTAAAACTTTTTATTCTTAGGCAGATTACTTCGTACAGGAATATCATTGCAAGATTGACATGCTAAATAATAAAAAATAAAAACATCACAAATGTTGAGTCATTCATTTTCTTTGCAGTTTTATAGACAGCTTCAATGTACAATAAGATTTTATTTATAATTTAAGAGGCTCGTGAATGGCCCACGTCATCTGATACGTAAGTGCTGCGTCACTGTAAGAACTCTTAATCAAAGAGGGGTCATTCGTGCGGACAGCTTTCAGAAATGTTCCAAGTTCAGTGAGATACGAATCATCGGTAGGGAAGGTAAAGTCCTGATCCTTATTTGGCTCCTCGTTTTTTAGACTTCGTACCCTTAGGATACAGTCCTTTTCATAAGGTTCAATGAGGGACAGTTTGAGTCCATCTAGCTGAACGTCAATATTGGCCTCGTACCTTGTTCCCGGTAGAGCTATTGAGTGCATTAAGGTACCTAATCCACCGTCCATGAATCGCCAGTGACTCATTGTTACTCGAGGGATTCTTTTTTCAGGAGTTATGTCGTCCTCTGCTTCAATTGGAACGTAAGCTAGATGTCCAGCGCCACTGGGATCAGAGTCCTTCAGCAGAAGAGTGTGTATCGTAGGAAGATCTACGTCACTGACCACAAACCGCGCCAAATCACAGAAGTGTGTAGCCTGTTCTACGATTGGTCCACCGCTAAAGTCCTCATTGAACCAATACTTGTTAACAGCTTTGGTGTAGGCAAAATAGTATCTCGCATTGAACGCCATCACCTTCCCACCATGTTTTGCTATTAGCTCCTTCATTTTAAGTATGCCAGCATGATATCTGGAATACATAATGATAAAGATCTTGAACTAATTTCGTGCAATTGCCAAGTTTAAGTGGAAATTGATTGATATGCTATATATATTTACTGTATTACAGAAAATATACCTGAACATATATCCGACACACACTATGACTTTCTTTTCTTTGCATGTCTCTGTAACGGCTTTGGCGTAGCTCATAAAATCCTCCGGCGGCAGGACTGACAAAGGTTTCTCCACAAACACGTGTATTCCTGCACGTGCGAACTGGAGCTCGAGGTCTTTCCCCTCTGAAAAAGAACCACGATAAGCCGGAGGAATCCCTATCAACACAGCATCTGGTTTTAACTCAATAAGTTCTTTGTAATTTTTGAAGATTTTGCAGTTTTTGT